TTTTTGTGCCCTTTGTACTTGCCGTGTTCTTTCCATTAGTATCTTCTATCATGTTGATGTGCTATTGAAATTGAGTGCGTGGTGTTTATTCCAATGCTTAAAGATTTACTCTGTGTACAGAACTGGCAGTACAGCCCTACAGCCTATTTGTGCACACTCCGTGTAAATCAAATAGCGTGCTGAGCCTGAGAATATTACTGTGGGTTACTGTGCCATAACCTGAACAGGGGAATATTCTGTCTCCGGCAAAAACAGCCTGCTGAATCTTGTCAGCTGTGCACTTAGGGAAGTGAGGGAGAAAATGATCAGATAACATGCTTATCTGTGAAGACCCAAGAGAACTGAGTTTTCCATATTCACAAGCTACCTGAAGGTATTGGCAGCAGTATCTAGTCCAAACAAACACAAAATCTCCCTGATAAAGAGCATCATTCAGAAGCAACGGAAGAGAGGTCAGAGTACAGCTTCTGCAACACCAGAGGATCCTGGCCAGTCTGTACATGCTCACAGTGCTAGCCTGTCTAGCCAAAAGCTCTTTCTTCTGTTTAGGTGTGTAAAAATGACAAGTTAGGACAAGGAGAGTGCTGAGGACAAAGATGGGGAAAACGGAGCTTCTCTCACACTAATTTCCTGGGGGGGGGAGTGGGCAAGAGCCCCCCCGATGGTGGTGTTCCCTGTCTCAGCTAGTAACTGGAAGAGGTCTTGCATTTATTTCCTAATCAACACTACATTAGCCTTAACATGGTGGTAGAGGGAGGGCTGTTGGTTCAATTTAATCCTTTAAATTGTTTTGGAACACTTAGTGAATGAGTTGCTCTGCCTAGGCCATGAAATATTATTTTTTATCAGCTTCTTGACTTCACTAGGAGGGAGATTTACTTTGTCTAATATTAGATGTCTCTGCTGGAGTCAAGAGCATAAACTGTCTTTATACTCAATGGAAAGAACTGAGGGTCTTACAGCACACAATTCATCTGACCTATTTTAAACATCGATATTACAGTAGGGTATATGACACCTGAATAGTGTCTTCTAGTGACTCTTAAGAAAGTCTAGACAACTAACTCATCAATCCAGGTTTAGCTGAAGTGCATTTCACCAGATTAAAAACTTCTTTTATCAAGGTAGCACTGAGTATGCCCACTGGATTCCTCAGGATCCTCTCTAAAGCCTTACAAATACACTCTGTATTACTTTCTTGGGTCAAAATGTATGACCTGTCAGGGAGAAGCAGCCTGGCATTTTATTGGGTTTGTTCATTCATTTCAGAGTGAACTAAGGCTGCAGTGGTGGGGGAAGAATTCTCTGATAATGCAAAGTTTCAAAGACTCTCCAGATTATATTTCCCCAGAAGCAAGCCCTGTTGTTCGCAAGTAACTCGAGTTTATCTATACAAGTTTGCACTATAAATTCACTATTTTTATTACTATTTTCTGTGATACAGTAAATTTGAAAAATAATAAGTTCTTTTGCTATTCTTGAGGCCATGAAAGGGTTAATTCTAAAAGAACATTAAATTATTATGTCTACATGGTAACACAAGCTCAGTTCCCAGTAGAAAGTATCTGATACACTAAAGATATGTCATTTTGCATCTTGATAATAATGTCTCACTTATAAGTTTTTCTTTCTTTCTTCATATCTTAGTTTATTGTCAATTTTGTTTTGCTTTCTTTTTAATATAATTTTTTACTGAGGTAATATCAAGTTTAAAATACCAAAAAAAAATCCCTAAGCCAAAGCCATAGTGTTTGACTATCTCCCCAAAAGGAAAAAAAGAATGAAGAAAGTTGAAATATTTTAACTCATTTAAAATTAAGTACAAAAATAAAGTAAGATTATGATTAGAACACCTCTTTTGTCCAGGACAAATTTGAGCTGCCACCAACAGGTGTGGTCTGCTCATTCCCACTTACCATTCCCACTACTTCGCTTGTGTTAACACTGGTGTTCGCACAACTGGGCTGAGAATCAAATCGGGGAACCATTCTGGCTGAAAAATAGCTACAAATTTTGTGTTGGTTTTGTTTGAGCAGGCCTAGACAAGATAAAAGTGGTTGATCTGAGACAGCAGATGATGACACCAGGTTTAAAGGTGCTTTTTCATCCTAGGTGCTTAGATAGCCAGTATATTTGAAGACAGGCTGAGAAAGTTGGTGGTGTTCAGCCTGGAGAAGACTCTGGGGAGACCTTATAGTGGCCTTCCAGTATCTGAAGGGCACCTGCAAGAAGGCTGGAGAGGGACTTTTTACAAGGGCATGTAGTGATCTGACGAGGTGTAATGGCTTCAAACTGGAAGAGGGTAGATTTAGATTGGTATTAGAAAAAAAAAATCACAATGAAGGTGATGTGGCACTGGAACAGGTTGCCCAAAGAAGTTGTGGAGGCCCCATCTCTAGAAGTGTTCAAGGCCAGGTTGGATGAGGCTTTGAGCATTCTGGTCTAGTGGAAGGTGTCCCTGTCCATGGCAGGGGGGTTGGAACTAGATGATCTTTAAGGTCCCTTCCAATCTAAATCATTCTATGATTCTGTGATTCTAAGATAGATAGAAGAAATAAGGAAGTTCTGTTAGTCAGTCAGACAAGTAGATCTAAGGGTGAGATTCCTCTCAGCCCCCAGAATGCAAGCACCCAGCCTGGACTTCTCTTCTGAGTCCATCTATGGTCAGTAGAGAAAGGCACCTCCAGAGGGCAATCTCTTCTCATTTTAACAAAAATATCTAGGATGCATAGAACAAGTCACCCTATGGAAATACCTATCTTCACAAGACTGTCTTGAAAACAAAATGACTAACTCGGGCTAGTAGTGTAGCTTTTCAGTGTCTGATATAGGGAAAGGGAAATCATCTTCTAAATGACTTTATGGGTTCACAGAGGAAGTTTGTGGCAGAATTAAGTTCCATAGTTAGCTCTTTCTCTGCTACCACAACCATTAACCTGTCTTCTTTTTCTAAGTCGGCACTTGCTTTACTGGACAGAATGGAACTGTGAACTCTGATTAAACTTCCAGGATCATGTGGTGTAATTTCAGAGACTTTTAAAGCTGGGGGAAAGCAGTGGATCATTTTTGTCTGGCCTCCTGTATAATACAGGTTATAAAGAATGTTTGGTTATCATTGTTTTGAATTCTGTGATTTGTATGGTTTTAAAGTAAATCTGATCCAAACTTAAAATTTCAATCTTTTAAATTTTAATTTGGCTCTGTTTCAGGAATGAAATATATTTCTTTGGATTTCTGCTGTGAGTGAGTTTCAGGCTGACCACTTTCACAGTTACTTCATGCATCGTTAAGTCAATGCTGAATCAACTTTGTTTCAGTCAGCAGTTGCTAAACTTTCCAGCAGTTGTCTCTCTAACACCTCTGATTCTCTATGATTTCTAAGAAAATCCACAAGTATGGAAATGAGGTGGCCTTAACAGCAGTCCATAAACCAAACATCATTGTGCCCATACAACTAGTTGAGCTATTGGGAAAGTAGGATCCACAGTTTTCTATGTCTAATCTGGAGTGTTAGACTTACTAAAAGGATCCTTGGTGAAGTTTTGGCCCCTTCTTTCCAGCATTCCTCCAAACAATTCCTGGACACAATTTGGGAATTAAGACAGGCTAGTGACCAGTCCCAGAAGGCAACTTACATGTGGCTACACTGTATTGGAAGGTAAAATAGTTTAATAGAACATAGCAGAACTTAATAAAGAGGCAGGTTGGGGGTTGGGGTTTTTTTGACAGATGGTTTATATGCCAGAAAAATAATCCCTCTCACATTTCATTTACTAGTATAGGGTCAGCCATGGATTCCCCAGCAGGACTGCTACCAGACCAGAGAACATTTCCAGGCTGCAGAAGCTGAGATACCCAAGGGTCTGTGCAGCTCTAGGAAACTAGAAATCTAGCTGAAATTTGGCCTTAGAGCAGTTTGTCTGCAGATGCTGCTCCAGTTCCTGGGACCACTGATGTCCCTGAAGTCATTCCAGCCTTGCAGCTTTGCCTGCCATGGTCTGTGTGAGTGGTCCCAGGATAGCACAATTTTGGGTTGCATCAGAGCTATAGGTGAAATCAGCTGTTAAGGAACCGAATAAATAAAATGTCAGGAAATGTAGTTAGCGTGCAAACTTCAAAACTTACCCCTGTTTCATTGCAAATTTAATCATAAGTGACAGGTTTCCAAAATCTTTCCTTTTCAAAAACTGGCATTTTATAATGAAAAATCATTCCAGCTCGTGACATCCAGCCAGATCTAGACTGAGGAATACCTTCAAAAAAGTATAGTAATAATATGAAGCATCAAGCTGTATAAAATTCGTCAGGTTCTTTAGTAAGTTGTAATTATTCCACAGTTAAAATTTGAATTTTATACTTTATTTCACTTTGTATGACTTAAGTTTCCTACGTTAGTTCTTTTATCTGGTGTATCAAAGAGCCCTTTAATATCTAGCATTTTCTGTTTTGAAGGTAGTCAATGATGTAATCAAAACTCCTCTTTATCTTCATTCCAATAATGTAAACTGATCAAGTTCCTTAAAGTCTCTTTGCTATAAGACTTTTAGTTCAAAATGAAAAAAAAAATCTATCAGACTGATGGAAAACATTTTTATCAATGTCACTTTCTTATGAATTACTCCTTAATAGGTATATGTCATATGACACATACTGAAAAAATATTTTCCTCCTTTCAGTGACCTGATTCAGTACCAATGAAATCAGTTGGTGAGGCTTTGCATTCTTTCTGCATTGATTTTCAGTGAGGCACCCAAAGAACTGACAGGAAGCAAATCTGGGGTTTAAGCACTACTTGTCCCACACTGTTATTAACCAAGGTTATGTCTAATAATGTAAAGATATAAAAGTGATTGGCTGCCTTGTTTTCTTCACCCTTAGCAGAATCCTAAGCTTCCAGTTCAGATATCAAAGATCTGAGAGTGAAAGGAAAACTAACAATGTCTGCAAAGACATCAACCAGGCCAACATTAGAGTAACTCTACTTCTGCTGATTTTTCTAGGTATAAAGACTTGGCTGATACAGCTGCAGGAGAGAAGAAGAAATTGTCTGCCAAGGAGAGATGTCGTCTTGTTCTTCAGCAGTGTAAATTACAAGGCTGGCAGGTTTGTGAGCTACAAAGCAATTAAAATATCATTCTTTAAACAAGCTAGCTGAGTCATTTCCATTGTGGCAAGCCACCAGATCCTTTGCAGCAGTATATTCTTCTGACATTTAATATATGCTTTGGGATAGAAACTGATTTTCTGAGTTTTCTAGCATATGAGTAGCTGTGATCATTGTGTCAAAAAATCAGTGTATTCTTGTGGGAAGGAAAAGATTTCAATTAAGCATGTACGCTGTTTAAATTTGCAGCCAGGTTTTTAAAGGTATCTGGTGTGCACATTTTATTCATTGAATGGTTTCTGAATTACAAAAAAAAAAAAAAAAAACCACACATTTTCTTTATGTAAAATCCTGTACTAAATGCTATATTGTCATAATACGGGAGACCCACACCAACTGCTTAGGACTTCCCATATGGTCAATACCTTTGTAGGCAACAGAATGCTGATTCAGAGACAGACCGAAGTACTTAAGATTACTGCACATCAAATAAAGTGGGGGAAAAAAAAAAAAAAAAGCCAAACACCGAACAGGAAGCTTTTAACTTCCTATCCCTTCTCCTTACCCTTTTTATACCCTAGTTAATCCCCACCACTGTGAGGCTTGCAAGGTGGATGTCTCCATTTGCCCAAAATACTCAGTCATCTCCTTTGGGTAGCTTTGTAATTGAGCAGGACTGATTTCTTTGACATATGCAATTTCTAAAGAAGATGGTGTTTCCTTGCACACTGCATAAGCTATTGTACAGAAAGGAAGCTTTCTGTGACTTAATGTGTAGAGCATTCTCCCAGGTGGTGTGAGCTTCAGATTCAGGTCTTTTCCCAGCCTAGGAGGACTGAAATCTATTCCACAAGAGGACATCCAGACCAGTTTCAGGGAAAAGTATGAAGTTTAGGGACTGGATGGTGGTTAGGGCACTCCTATAGTCTTCCAAAATATTAGTTTAAAGGAAGGGATTGACATAGACCTTCTAATTTGTGCATGACCTCTAAGCATTAAGATGCCCAGAAGAAGTTTCTGCAACTGTTTAGGAAGAACAAGGACTATGTTGGACTTTGTGCTACGGGTGTTTCTCAGTGGCCCAGATTCCTTAGTTATAACAGGAAAAAAGGTAGGCCTCCCACTAGGCTGGGAGTGCACACGCATGATCACCTGCACTTGGACGCATAAGAAGATTTTTCTTTGGTCAAAATACTCTTCAAGTCCCTTTTTAGTCACTAAAGTAAGCAGTGGGCACATATTGTCCTATTCCCTCAACATTAAAGAGCAAAAAGATGGACCCTGAAAGAGATAACATTATTAAAATGGACTTGCTTTCCCT